AATGAAATATATGAGCATATTTTTGTCCACAGATGTTTCCAATCAAAAGTTTATTGAAGTCTGACACTTCATTTTAAAATTATAGATCTCCTGTTTTGCAAATTAAACAGGGCATTTTCTTCATCAGTAATTGTAGATCTGGATACACCTTGGGTGCTCAAACTAGGGCAGATAGTTTACTCATACGGCCACTTCTTGAACCTTTGACACACAGGTCTAGTACAGAAGGCAGTGGACAAACGTTAGGTACATTCACATTGTAGTCGATGATCGAAATAGGCTTGTATGCTATTTGTTTCATCATATACTTTAGTTTGAATTGAGGTTTCCAAACTCCCTTACATGAACTTTCCGTGACCGCCAAATAGGCTTCATCACCAGACTTTCGAACAGAAGAATTTACTAATATGTTGAAAGCCATTGTCATCATTTGGGATGAACTTTATCTTCATCTGTATTCAAATAACAATACACTGCCATGTATCTAATTAACTCAAGTTTATTAGTGTTATGACACAGAGCTTAGTAAACTTCATAATTCATTCAAACTTTAATTCGTGTATTTACATCTTAAATCATATAATTTCAGTACTTGCAACAAAATACATTGAGTAAGAAGGTTGTCAGTCTATTTAAAAGCTTATAATTTAGTCATATTAACTAAAAGTTGAGCGTCTCACTCTGTGGATAAAGTGCATATACAAAATAGGAAGTATATGTATAAACATTAAAATAATTACTCTGATTTGAAAGGATTATTTTGAAGATTCACAGAAAAAAAACCGAATTTCTAAAAGAAGCAAAGAATACCGTGGTGACCATCTACTGTAATATGGCACAAGTGATATGACATACATTCTCAATATAATTAGGAGGTGGATTTCTAACAAACGAAACAACGAGTAGGCCTTTGTTTACCTAATTTTCGAACATTTGTGTCTTTTATTAATTGAAGTTAACAATCAGAGTAACTCTTATAATCGTGCCCCTAGCAAATCCTTACCCTTAATCTATTAGGAAAATACTCATCAAAACCTTGTGTCCTAGTTGATTAAGTTCACTTATTACCATTAACTGAACTTATGTGTATCTCCTTGTTTGAAAGATTCGCCGTAACTTGTTAAACCTTATTAGATTGGTTATCTTATAACAAAAGAATCCATCTGATTGATGAGTGTTATAGTAAGAATCGATATAACTGAGACTGCAGGTCGACAGCGGACAACTGTTCAGACTTGTCAAGGAAACCGGTATTAGGAATCCAAGTGTTAGTGAAATTAACTCGGAAAAAGATGGACATATTATTCACTCTCAATCCAGGAAATTGGATTGATTGGCAGAACACTTTATGGATCAGTTCGACTGGCCTTCAGCCACACTTGGGCTTACCACGATCTCCAGTAGACCTAAATAGCAAGTTGATGTAAGTCCTCCAACTGTTTATGGAGCTCAGAAAGCCATAGGAAATCTGAAGCGAGGGAGAGCAGCAGGCCGGTAAGAGATGATATTCGTAAGTTACTAATATTCAATCATAGGTGTCTTCGAAACATCGCTCGTATATTCTGGAACCACCGAGTAAGTAATGCAGTTGTTATGAAACAGGTACTAGGTAGAGATGTCAAATCGATTTATGAAGTAGTGAAATTTCATCAGTTGAGATGGTTGGGACACGTGTTACGTTTGCCCAACCACCGACGTGCGATGTTTTATGGTGTAGGAGTAGGTTGGAAGAAAGCTAGGGGCGGCCAAATCAAACACATGGCACAAACCCATGAGGTCAATGACAAGTGGACTGGGCCACGTTGGTAGGTGTAGACTACCTGGTTGGGATCCGCGAGATGATAACAACCTATGGTTAGAGACCTTGAATGACATGGTTCAAAATCCTTTGCAATGGCGAAGGTGCATCCACTATTTGTGTTCTGCCAAATTCTAATCTTCTGAATTCTTCATGCTATTTTTTCTCTTTCCAGATTTATTACACTGGATTACACTCCTTGAATAACATCTTCATACCCTAATGTTTCTGATTACTGCTTATACTTATGTGGTGTGGATTACTTATGTCCACGTAATACATAACGATGGTCAGGCATTGGATGTAGAAGATCGATAACTAAGGAATGGAACGAAACGCAATTGGTATGAAAATGCATGAAGAATAATAATTGGAGACGATGGACTGATATTTGCAGAAGGAACGGTCAAGATTGGGACAATCGATTGATGGTTTGCGAATTAAATGTTTACTATATGGTTCTCCTATTTTACTGAGACACTCTGTAATTTCGTGTTAAATACATTCGACTGTCCCCACTCGTGTTCTTGTTCACTACAATACTACCTCTACCACTATGGGATTTGAATCAATAATTGTATCTCTGTGCTAATGTAGTATGACAACTTGAACTGATGTACGTACGTACGGAGCTCTACGTTGTTGCGGATTGACTGAATGCGGGTCGACAGAATCAAACATCGAATTAAAAATATAATCATGGTAGGAAACAGCTATCTGAATGGCTCGAAGGGTGAAGATCCTGACACTATCTATTTATTCAACTCGAATACTGTTTTGTCCTTCCTATCTTTTTTGCTTTTTCGAAGTTTTCATGTACAATCATATGTAGTCAATGTGGAATCACGCGAACACTGAAGCAAGAATACTTTAGCTGACAGAACGAAAAAAGTAATGATGAGATCAAGTTCGACACATATACCACTAAATTTAATAATCCTGTACTCGACTTTGACCAATTCAAAGTGTAAAGTCTAATGATGGTAATGATCTCCGAACTAACGCAAGCATCTTCAGTTCAGACATGGAGCAATCTTGTTGAAAATCATAGCTCATCGTCCTACAATTCGAATGTATAGGGTTCCCTACGCAAATGCAATCGTATTGCAGTGAACAGAAACAACGCAAACACTTAGTACCAGTCATCAATAAAGCATTCGTAGTGGAAACCCCCACTATAAAGTAAAGTTGATAAACATTTTTGAGATGTTATTGAATACGTCATCTATTGGACCAATATCATGGAAGTGCGTTTTTAGTCGAAGTATAATTAATCCGACCTGACTGGGATAGTTAGAAGGCGTTTTCAAAAACAAGCAGTTTAACACTGTGCAAATACCCATATAAATTAGGGTAATTACCAGGAAGAGTCAAATCTCGAAGCACAGCAGTTAGCATACACTGAAAGAGACTAGCTCGTTTGTGGTACAATCGTAATTTCAAGATTTTTTGGTCTTGGTGGTGTTGCAAAACACTAAAAGTATCATTACTAATATCATGATTTGATTCGGATTTAGGTGACGCGACGGACTTTATTAAACCTTAACTTTTGAGATAACATGTATTAATTCTACTGAAATAAAGACCATTGGTTAGACTGAAGCAGGTTTTGAATTTCAAAATGAATAAAATACAGAGCAGTAGATGAAATGGAATGATACGATGTAGCAGAGTGACAGCTACTCACCAGAACGGAAAAGTAAATCAAAAACTATAAATGAACTGATATCAAAAACAAGACTATTAGCCAAGGGAATGGCTTTTCAAAACATGTTTATATGCAAATCATTGGTAAAAAGTAAACGTAATCGGATGATCTAAGAGATTGGGAGAAATTAGTTTTGTGGGTCATCTTTACTGAATTAAAAACCGTGTTAAACTTATAGGTATCATTACCAAGTTTTGATTTGATAATTTTGTTAAACTTAATTCATTCCCATCATATGACCTCCCAAACAAAACGATATGTGATCTTTTTGCCATAGTACCGGAAAAGCGGTCATTCTTTTGCATTGTTTTATGGATTATTCAACTCGAGTAAATGTCATGTTCCTGTTCCGTATACAAATTGCAACCTTATCATTGATATAAAACTCAAAATAATTCCCTTTCATTGCCTGATTATCGAGGTAGGATAAATTTTCAGTTTCACTTCCTTCCCTCCTCTTTAGGATAAGACCGTTGATCACATCATTCGATCTGTAACGTTGTGTACATCCACGTTGTTTTTGTCTTGTGACTGAGGACATCTATGACTCTTGTAATTGTTTAATGCATGGCTTGTGCATAATGATTCGGTGTATATCTTGTAGATTTGGTTAATATTGCGACAACATAATTGAAATTTTTGAGCTTGAAGAATTTTCAAGAAATCATGACTTCAATGGCGTTGTAGTGAACGCTACCCACAAGATCGCTTTAAAGTAGTATGCAGAGCGTCGCATGAGAGTTGCTGAGGTCGACAGTTGAAGATAGGAGTCTGAGGAAGACAAAAGCACGAGTTCGGAATACTTGAAGCCGGAAGGGAAGCTATACAAGACAGTCTACAACAAGCTTGCAATGCGGTACATAATAAATGCAAATGAAAGACTGAAGAATAAGTGTACATATTACATAAGCAATCTCTGTACCCTTTAAATAGGTAAATGTGAATTCCTTTTGGATGTGGCGTATTCGTACTTTATACTATGACTGATTTCGAATTGCCAGTAACTTTACAACTATCTATAGTTTGTCATATTATAACTTGAAACCACTGCACCATTGGATGGACTGGGGCTTTCATCCATAATCCATTCTTTCTGAACAGCACTTGACTTTGAATTAACACTTTGTGAGTCCCCAGATTTCGGTTAATTTACAAGTATTCTTATAAGTCCGTTCCGTAATTGCAGTATGTGAATGAATAATGACTTCAACTCATCTAAAATAATGGACATCTTAACAATCTATCTTCATTGTTATAGTAGAGGATTCAGTAAACGAACAGGGTTTGTAAATCCTAACAATCAAGTCCCAGTATCCACTGTTCTGGATGAGGACTTGGTTATTTAGTGAGCGGACGAGTTTTAGATTGTTAAAATGAATGAATAAAATGCAAAAAGAGTGATATACGAAATGTCTACCACATCAAGAGTTTTAGCAGAACTATTACCAGCCAAAATATGAAATAACAGAATAGAAAAATATTACAGAGGACACATTATATCTTGTTATATTTACATTGAATCCAAATTCTGTACATCTTTAACTTCTTTTTGCGATTTACAATTAATCTGCGATCAACCTTGTTCTGAATCTTTTCCAGACCAACAGCAGTAAATAACTCGTGTAATTCATCTGCATGAAAATCAAAACATAATACGCTGGAATTTTTCAAACCAACCTTGCGTGAAAAAGTAAACCCTTGTTCCATCTGATCTCATATAAAAATTATCTTTTAAACACTGACCATTTTTAAATCTTAGCTGAGCTAAATCAAACCTTCCATAATCTCGAAACAATAGCACACCTCCGGGTTTTAGATACGTAACAAGATTTTTAAGTGTACGGTGAAACCTAAAAAGCATTTGCGATTAAATTACAGTAGAGATATTTACAATTCAGGATTTACTGCTGATAATACGAACACTAAGACTAGAAAATCCAAACTATTTTTAGGACAAGGGATTTCATCATTAGTTTTGGTTATATCATGCTGGAAAGTAATACAACGATCAGCATCATATCCTTTGGATTCCTAATTGATAATGATTATATCAAGTAAGAACTTACTTTGAGTATAGATAGAGCCTTTTCAGAGAAATCTGATGCATATATCAACAGTCCAGGACTCCTAAACCGATTATAGATATCTCAATATCTTAATACTTTATAGCGCGTAATATTGGAAATATCGTATTCCCCACACCACAACCTACCTCCATTATGTGCACGCTAGGAGCTAAAAAAAATTAAAAAAGGGTCGAAACCCACATGTCGAAGAAAATAATTCATAAAACTCTTTTTCTAACCAATTTCTGTCTTTGAAGAATCTATCTTCATGATGGGAATAAAACTTGTCCCAGTATTCATGCGCAAGGATCTCAATTCGTTCTAAACATAAAAAGTGAGCAGTAGCTTCCAAAAACCTTGAGAGTCATCTGGGAGTTTAACAGTGCTATTCAAAAGTATCATTTCTTTCGCTACATTTTCCTGCTCTTCTGTCCATTGAAAGTCATCCCTAGAGAAGCTGGATCTTTTCATCATAATTCTTACCAAGCATTCCGCTCATAAACATCAGAAGCATCTGTAAGATATCGACATCCAAATATATCGTTACAATCTTTGGAAGCCATTTATAATGATCTGAAATATAATAATGATAACATTAGGAGAAAATAAGAGATGAAAACAGAAACGCGAAGGTAACTGAGTGTGCAGTAACAAGCTGCTTAACAATTGTGAGAACATAAAGAACGAGTTCACTTGTAGCACTGAAAACTTTCAGCCATATCACCTCAAATCTACGACACCGGTCAGGTGCTCTAGATGTCAATCACAAAGTATGGATAATAATTGCTGTGAAAGCTAAGGGTAAATGGCTTCGTAGGCTGATGTTATTTACTGGTTTGGCTCTGTGGCCTTTTCAAACCTACTATTATACAAGCTACCATCGCATTTTAAGGAAAGTGGCAAAACCTTCCCCAGCCACTTTCGTAAACAGTTTAAAACCCCAACTCTACAAGTAATATCATGATCCCTCACTTGGTAGCTCCAACATAATGAGCGACGTTAGAGGAATTCTAACTATTCATACGCGGCTTTCATAAATCACGCTAGGTTCTCTCCCTTCTAATAATAGAAGCAGTTACTGAACTAAAATATGTGGCAGGTAACATATCTAACAATGCAAATAATTTCCGAATCACGGATTCATGTTTCGGGTCAAATTTACTGTGCAACGGCTAGTGATACATACAGAATTAGATGGGGTTCGAACCAGTGGTCTAAGAGTTTACAGTCAAACGCTTTAATCTCTAAGCCATTGCTCTATTTTCAAAAAGCTTTCCTATAGATCAGCAACACATCGACGCGCTTGCCATGAGGTTAAAAACCGTTCTGAACTCACCGTCTCTTGGTTATCAATTATAGTCTAATTCACTTATTTTTTCCCGAAACAAATATTTGGTAAAGCAAACTACACGAAATAACATAAAAAGGAAAGCTCATATTTCTAGTTGTTAACCAAGAATTTGTTAAAATACCAAAATGTTTGAACTATTAGACCTACTTGTTACACAAGAAAAGTTTTGAGGAGCCAAGTATGCAGCAACGAAATGATAAATGAAGATACTAATCTGACCAAAAGATTAAACCTACAGTCAAATGATCGAAAAGTGATTTTCGGGATAATATCAGCAAGTGAAAGTCAACCAGTACAACATTATTTAATGAGGTTACACTACCTATATGCTAAGGATACGTTGTCTAGAAGTAACTTGATTCATTTATTCTTGTAAGGTAGATTGAATGTAATGTTACGGAAATGCATTAATAAGTAAGGCCCTAATGATGTGTAAGTCTGTAAGCATCGAAGTTCCTCATGGTACAATCATCCGTCCTGTTTTTTATTTACTTTATACAAAAGCTTTACCAACTGTAGCATTTTTTTGTTCTGATGTTTGCAGATGACATAAAGATTTGGAGACCAATACACATTATGTCAGATAGAATAATATTAAAGGATAACCGAAATTCACTAGTTGAGTCGATGGGCAGGTGGATATTTAAAGCCAATTCTAACAAGAGTGTGGTGATGCAAATAAATAACTGCGGCGATCCATATCACTACATGACATGTGGATTTGTTACCTAGAATAATGGACCATAAAGATATAGGACTCATAATGAGCTAAGACTTCAAAATTACGATCAACTACAAAGCTGCCGCTGACAAAGACTTTAAAGTCTTATGGGCTACTGATGATTCGTTTAACTTCTTGGACGAAGAAACGTTTAGGAAATTATACCCGAATCTTGTGAGCCCGCATCTGAAGTATGGGGTCCAAGAAGCAAGTTTTTGTCCAAAGTGAGATGGATATGCTAGAATGAGTTTGACGGTAAACAAACAAAATAGTAAAAGGTATCTCTAGCCTATCTTATGAAGACAGACTAGAACGCCTCAACCTATTCCCGTTATCTTACCACAGGTCACGGGATGATCTAATACCGGCTTAGCTTATACTGGGGGATGATTTTGTTATTGATGTCTTATCTTTTACTTTAATCTACGACCGACCATTTGAGATGACATTCTGAGAAAGTCCAAAAACTGGGACCAAATTGCTCATGTCTAGAGTTCTGTTTCTCGTACCGAGCAGAGAGTTGCTAGAATTTTCTACTAGAACGTGTACTATCAGCACCTTTTGTCAATACATTTAAAGCGAAACTGGATCTCCACAGTACTAAAGATTGCAAGGATTAGAATAGGTCGATTGACCTCCTATCTTTGTTATCGAAGACATGTATGTGTCCTTGAGTTGCTCTTGTGTCTGTGGAATACTCCCGTCACAATGTACTTAAAGTTTTCAATCTTTGATCAATCAACCGTACTCTACTGTGGAGTAGAATATCATTCCGTATCTAATAATTAGGAGCAAAACCATACTATACTGATAGACCAACCAAATGTATACTAATTTATAAAGTAGTGGCTCATAAGTCTCCAGCAAAATCCGGGTTATCATGACGGATTTGTTACAAATATTAGGAGTTGGGTTAAAAACACCTGCATACGGTTTTTGGTGTGATTGTGGAACCAGTAAAGAACTGTGGTTCTCTAATTGACAATGAAACATCATTAGTCTCTATATGTGAAATGGACTGAAGTCACATAGGTGAATTCCTCGATCTAATTTATGTTGTCTTTAGCATCGATAAACATAGTACGAACCTCAATAGGGCTTTTATTATGGAGCACCTATCTGTCCCGATTCTTCTGGTTTCTTGTAACAAACCATTCGTTAAAGGCGCGGAATAAACACATATGTAATTCGTGATGAAACACGATCATCAATCCTTAAAAATGTTTGTTGGTAAATACATCCCCTAAATAAATAGTTCTGTGTGTTCTCGACACTTATGCCGACCCCATTAGTTATACTGGACATACCCTAGATGTAGGCGCTTGGTCACGCATCCGCATCAGATCACGAGTGTGTACGCCGTGCTACCCATCCCTTGCAACTGCTTGCCAGAAAAGACCAAAAGCTTCTCAATAGATTGGTGACCTTCCAAATATATGTTTGGACCACTTCATCTCTGATTATTAATATGGCTGGATTGGTACACTTCGATTATAATTTACGTGGGAGACCTAGACGCCAAAGTTGAAATGGACGACACCTGATATAAATATATCATAAGACGACATAGGATAGGAAGAAGGAATGTGAATATTGAGTTCTATAAATTTATTTGCTTTCAACAAAACGGTTATAGGTGGCACAATATCCCTATCCTTAAACTTATTCACAAAGTAAAATGGGTATCACAGGACCACAAAATGGAGAACCAGATCGAATATGTTTTATTCACCTAAAAATTCAGAAGGAGTGTGAAAGACGTGAAAACAAAGAGGGAAGATGGCATAACTTCAGACCACCACCTAAATGGCCAAGATGAAACTGATACTAAAGAATCACTGGACAACTGAAGAGTCAGCAGTAAAAAGGTTCAGTACACGCTTTCTTTGAGTTATTAACAGACTCACCGAAATCAGAACATCTCATTTTGAAAAATCCCGAGCCTTATAAAATCTACTCAATGAGGAGGAAACCACGATGGAGAGTGACTGAAAAGGGAGTTTTAAAAATTAGCTTCAGCGTGTCATGATGTTCTGAGCCGCAAAGAGCATCAATACAAGGTATGGATCTCCATCAAAATCCTGGCCAAGGTTGAAAAGAGGAAAAATGAGACAACAATTATCAGCGCTCGAACATCAGCAGAGAAAATCAAGACACAGGCCAAACACATGGTAGCAAACAAGAGAGTGAAGAAGACTGGCAAGCGGAAGTACGTGGAAGACCTAACAGAGACTGGAGAATAAGATGAAAGAGCAGAAAAAATGCATCAACTCTATGGTTAAGTGATGAAACAAGAAGAGGATTGTAAATCGAAGAGGCCAGTCAACGACAAAGAACGTATGATAATCACTGAGATGCAAGAACAGCAGAACAGGTTGATGGGTCAATTTGAAGAATTCTTGAACAGGACTGAATAAATCAATGTCACATGAACGTCATATTTTGTTCATTGATCGCACCTAATATTCATTTTGTTCCGTTGTATTATTGAAACTTCGATTAATGTTAATTTGGTTATTTATTCTCTGATGAAGTGGTTTACACCGAGTCACGAAACGTCAGAAAATCTAATTTTTCTATTCGTTGGGATATTACAAATACATTAATTAATTTATTTCTACACTAAGGATCATCCTCTCTAATCATATGTTAATTAGGAATAAAAGTGAATTAGATATTGACTGTCTAGATTCACTAATTAGTCTTCCGTTTATTAAATTTATTTGAAAATTATTTTCTATCACATCTCAATAAATGTCGTTCGATCAAGCTACATGGAGTCAATGAATAAAAACTGAATTATCATTTTATTTCACAATTAGTTGTTCTTTTAGTTTCCTCTAAATTTTTAAATTGTTTTTAAAACTAAAATTGACATTTGTTTGTGGAAATATGACTACAAAAACTATTTTGTAAATAATTTTTCATAGTTTTTGCATGTATTTTGTGTATTTTCATACTCTATACATTTAGCATTAAACAATTGTACATGTTGTTTAAGTGTATTACTTTGAACACTTGTATTTTGATTTCTTTCCGTTTTGAGTAAAACATATCGCAACATTGTTACTGCTCCTCAATAAATACGCTCTAACCCACATCTGCATCGTTCTGCTATGTTAAATGAAATATTAATTACATACCATCTCCGTTTATAAACAATTGTGACATTCTTATTGAATTCTACGCTTGATAAATCTATTGGATCCGTATCGTTCATACTGAGATTACTAATGTTTTATGATTGTGGATTATCGGGACCAAGCTAAACTGAACGCGCAATAGCCTGAAAACTTAAGTAACGTCCCTTACTTTCATTTTTGAGTAAATAAATTATTAACTGTTAATTGTTGCATAAACTTTAGATGTAATATTTTTGTTGCTATCTTTTGGTTATCATACGTTTTGGTCCACCACACGTTCGGCACATACACATGTAAATTATCGATTTCCAGTGTTATAAATAAATCTACCTAATGATCCACTGGTAT